GGGCGGTCTTTATTACAGGAGGGGGCGGAGACAAGACCAGTCACCCTGCACAAGGAGAGAGGAGCAGCGGGCGGTCTTTATTACAGGAGGGGGCGGAGACAAGACCAGTCACCCTGCACAAGGAGAGAGGAGCAGCGGGCGGTCTTTATTACAGGAGGGGGCGGAGACAAGATCAGTCACCCTGCACAAGGAGAGAGCAGCAGTGGGCGGTCTTTATTACAGGAGGGGGCGGAGACAAGATCAGTCACCCTGCACATCTGGTAGTTCAGCTTTGGGGCCCCATTGTGACGTACGGCTCCCAGACACGGGGGGGAGGGGCGTTCTCACCGGGACGTCTCCTCTACGACTTGCTGACGTTCTCATAGATGACGTCGCTGATCCGGAACTGCTGCTTCTTCTTCTTCCACATGAGCTGGACACACTGATGGATGAAAATGAATTGTTCCTGAAAGAGAAGGTCGGGGTCAGAGGTCACCGGCCCGGTGTGAGGAACCGCTCAGCATGCCGAGCAGAACCACGAAGATAAAGACTCTCCGGCTCATCATCATTTATAATAATCCCGCTGATCCCACCCACCGGGCATGGAAATCCCGCCCCATCACCCCCAGATCAGCCAATCGCTGTGCAGAAAAGATGGAAGCCCCTCCCACAAAGAGAATATGCTGCCAGCCCCGCCCCCACCAGGGAAAGGATGAGGCACGCACCTCGGTCTGCACCATGCACATTCTGTACGAGCGGAGTTCTGCCACAAGGTCCAGAACATCAACATATTCATGATCCCGAATGTGCTGCATCAGCCGGTCCAAAGCAATGAAGGTTCCGGTCCGTCCGACCCCGGCGCTGTCACAGGAGGGGCCACAATCACACATCACATGCCCCCGGAGTGTAATACATCATATAACGATAGAGAGGGAGGGGAGGGGCCACAATCACACAATATAGGGAGGGGCCACAATCACACAGTATAGGGAGGGGCCACAATCACACAATATAGGGAGGGGAGGGGCCACAATCACACAATACAGGGCGGGGACAAAATAACAA